TGTGTGTGTGTGTGTGTGTGGAATGGAGCAGGTGTGTGTGTGTGTGTAGGAGAGGAATGGACTTGGTAAAGAGAGGAAATAAGCTGAAATGGTAGGTTGTGGCCAAAATGTAGAGGGGGGTTGGGAGGAAAACATTAACATTTTTTGAGGGTCTGCTCTGCATTGTGGCTTACAATATGTTAGATGCTTTGCACACTACGATTTATTTAATCCTTACTATCCCACAATATGGGGATATTTTTCCCCGATTTAAAGATGAAGAAGCCAGACCTCAGCGAGATTAAAGTGACTTGCCCAAGGTCAGGTAGTAAGTAAGTGGCAGAGCTTGGTCCAAACTTAGGGGTGTTGGATTTCAAAGACCTATGTTCTTTCCATTACGCTGCAAGGCTCCTAATACCATGACTAGGACTCTGTTTACTCTGGCTGCATAATGGAGGCCAGTCTGGAGCAAAAAAGTCCCAGAAGGAGGACATCAACGAGGAAGCTGTTGGAATAGTCCAGTTAAGGCTTAAACTGTGAACCACCAGCCTAATATGGAAGCTGCCTGGCCCAGGTGTGCTTGATTGGTTTAATGTGTGAGCATTTTTGGCAGCTGCTGTAGCACCATCAACCAAGTGCATTGCCACCTTTTGCTAGTAGAATTTCAGAATCAGTTTACAGAGGCTGCTGGCATCCTTGTGTTTCAGGCATAAGTTCTAATTGAGATTAGCAGTTCATTACAGAAGGGTCTGGGGAAAGAACTCATTTGGTAGATACCATTCCTTCATTTTCTCACCCTCAAATTCAACAAGAATCTATAATTGAGGAAAGAGATCCACACTTGGAGTTACTAGGCTGGTTCATTCAAGTCCTGGTTCTAATCATTATCATCTGTGAGTCCTTGATCTCAGTTTCTTTCTCTGTAATATTAGGTCTATATGGGTTCACTTCTGAGATCTCTTCTCTTGCTAATGTCATGTGTTGCTTTGCTCTTCCTGGCTTGGGGTAGTGTAAGGAAGTGGCTGGGAATATGCACCTTGGATTCTGAGAGATTAGGCTTTAAATTCCAGCCTCTCATCCTTCTTCTGGATTGACAGTAGCTTGGTTATATATAGACTCCAGAGTTGGACTGGCTAGGTTTGAGTCCTGGCTCTACCACTTGCTAGCTGTGTGATTGGGGCAAGTTATTTAACCTTCCTGGCTCTCAGTTTCTTTATCTGTACAATGGGGGTACAAATATTACCTACCACATAGCGTTGTTATGAGAATTGATATAACTTATGTCAGACACTTAGCACAGGGCCCAGCACGTAGTAGGTGCTCAATGAAAGTTAGCTTTAATAGTAACCATATTAACAATTATTATTAATTGTATATTTATTTGGGCAGTTTTCCCTACTGTCTTACTCTATCGCTGCCTTCTCTTGCCTTCCATTGCTTCATCAGGAAACTTTGAAATAATACATTGTTCTATCACAGAGCTGCAAAGTGTAACATGACAGAAAGTGCCTGCAGGAAAAGGGTCAGTTAAGAGTCAGTGGCTCATTAGAAAATCTTACCTGACTTGTGTTTTCACCCACCTCTCTCCATAGTAAACAGGAACAGAGCAGCATACTTAATTCCCTTTTGCACAGCCTTCAACAAAAGTGCTAAGTAAGACCCCTCCAATTCACTTGCCAAAAAGTACAATAACAGTATCTCTGGAAAAATGGTGCCTAATTTGGTTCTTCTTTCTCTCCAGCTTAAACCCCTCTGACCTTAACTTAAGCCATTTCTTCTTGTTCCATTTTCCATTAATATGGAAAATTTCCTTCTGATTATAAAGGCAGGATGAGATCAAGATTTTCTTATGAGAACCTTTTGTGTACTTAAAGCCAGAATCGAGTTAGGCCTCCTCTTCTCTTCTCCAGGCTAAGCAGCCTTGGTTTCTTTTACCTCACTCTTAAAACCTATTTTCCGTTGCTTGGATCACATTGGTCATGCTTCTTTTCTTTCTTTTTGGTTTTTCTGTTTCTTGGCAGTGACCCAGACTGCTTAGTCTGCTAATAAGAGTCCAGCTGAAACAGTTTAAGGGAAGAATAACTTCAGGTGTTTTCATTCATTCATTAACATTTATTGAGTGAGTACCCCGTGCCAGGCACTGTGCTAGGTGTAAGGTACCCAGAGAGGAATCATAGTCTGATCTCCCCGGCTCATAGGCTAAGGGGAGATGTGCAATCACATGTTACAGATGCTGTGATTGGACTATGCACAAGTGTGGAGAGCTGGAAATTGTCGAGGGCAATTAGGTAGAAACAGATCATCCATTAGGCCTGGACTATAGGTCAGGATTTCTGTAGAGGAATGGTAGGACATAATGCAGGAGGGGTAATCTGGGGCAAGGTTGTGGAGGCCCTGAGTGATAGCATAGGGGCTTGGTTATTCCAGGCAGTGAACACCTATTAGAAGTGTTGGAGCAAGGCAGTGACAGGCTTTTTTGGACCAAGGACAGAGATACCACAAGCCTTAGTCTTATCTGCCCTTCACGGATATTTTCATATTATTTGAAAATAATATGATGGATCCCTTGTTTGTATACAGGCTTTTTTGCTCTAAAACTTCTATAGAAAAACTAGTTCTTGAACTCTGGAAAAATTTCATTCCATATACAGGCAGGAAGTTCAGAAGAAATGAGAGGAAACTGGGTTCCCAGCCTATATAAGGCCCAGTGGCAGGCCGCTGTGTGTAGGTGTGGTCTGGCCACATTCATCCTTTCCCAGCCGTATCCCAGGAAGAGGTCCAGGAAGGAGAAGAGGGCTCCAGTGCTCATTGGGATATTTGGTAAGCAATGCTGAGAAGATTTAGGCAGTGTGAGAGTCAGAAGTTCTTTCTAAGGAGGAAAACAGACCCAGAGGAATTTGAAATGGTACCAGAAGGAATCAGGGCCAATCAGGCACTTAGAATCCTGGGTCATGAATCTGAAAACCTCCAAATTCTCTCTCTCTGCCTTTGTACTTTGCTGTCAGTTTATTCCTTCTGGTGCCCAGTTTTGGTTTATAGAGTGCGTTCCAGGGCCACGCTGATCTGGGGAAGCCATATCTCAAGCTAGAGTCATAATTGCTATTTATTGAGTGCCTACTCTATGTGCCATTGTGCCATGAACTTGGAATACATTAGCTCATTTAATTCTCACAATAACCCTGCAGCATAGGTGTTCTTGCCCCCATTTTATAGATGATGATGGTGAAGCAGAGCAGTTAAGTATTATGTCCAAGACAACCTCATTAGTGAATAGGAAGGCCAGAGTCTGATTCTAGGCCCTCATGGCTCAAAATCCCATGCACTTTCTACCTCCCCAGCCCTTGAGTAGTTCCAAACAACAGAATAACACAAAATCCATAAATAAATTCTGAAGGTTATTTTTACTACAGGCCTGCTAGAGGTGGAAGTGAAAAGAGGTGCGTTCGTGTGTGTATGTTCATGGAGTTGGTGAGGAGGGGAAATAATCTGGGTTGGCCTACAGGCTGTAATCTGGCTTACCACCTGTTTTGTATGAACTGCAAGCTAAGAATACTTCTTACATTTCTAAATGGTTGGGGGGAAAATTCAAGAGAAGATTAATATTTGTGATGGGAAAATTATCTAAAATCCAAATTCCAGGGGCGCCTGGGTGGCTCAGTTGGTTAAGCATCCAAGTCTTGCTTTCAGCTCAGGTCATGATCTCAGGGTCCTGAGATTGAGCCCCTCATTGAGCTGCATGCTCAGCAGGGAGTCTGCTTGAGATCCTCTTCCTCTCCCTCTGCCCCTCCCCCCCTCATGTGCTTGCTCTCTTTTCTCTCTCTCTCTAATTAATTAAAGGGGCGCCTGGGTGGTTCAGTCTGTTAAGCATCCGACTCTTGATTTCGGCTCAGATCATGATCTCAGTGTTGTGGGATCAAGCCCTGTGGTTGCAGCGTGGAGTCTGCTTGTCTCTCTCCCTCTGTTCCTCACCCCACTCGTGCTGTCTCTTTCTGTCCCTAAAGCAAATAAATAAAATCTTTAAAAATAAATAAATAAAATCCATATAGAAACATAGCCACAATCATTCATTTACATATTGTCTATGGCTGCTTTCACTCTACAAAGGTAAAATTAAGTAGTCACAATAGAGATCATGCAACATAGAAAGCCTAAAATATTTACTATCGGCCTCTTTGTAGAAAAAAAAAATTGGCCAACTCCTACTATAGGCAACAAGAAGGAACCTGTGGCAAGACTAAAGGCAAAGAGTTAAAGCTCAAAGGTGTTCAAGGTTGTCCCTGGAGATGTGGCCATAAGGAGAGGGAGTGTAACCTGAGCTTCTTTGGGCCCTGGAAATAGTTTCATTGGGCCACAGAGATTTGTTGGCGAATGAAAAGCACAATAGGAAAAATAATGGTGTATGCTAACACTCTCTACTGGACAATAAAGAAACATTTTATGGATGAAGTAATGTAGTCAGATATCTACTAGAGCCCTTTTTGAGCCAGATACTCTGTTAGATACTAGAAATACAAACATGAAAAAGATCCGTCCCTGCCTTTGAGGAGCTTACGGCCTAGTGGACAAGCCACATATGTGTGTGAATACCCAGCTCTGTGTATTATCATAGCATGCCATGGATGTGATGAAATGCTGGGTGAAGTAGAAAAAAGTCAAGGACTGCTGTAATTTGTGGGATCACTTTCAGTAATTCGTGAGGGGCCCTGAAGGATGAATAGGTGTTCTTTTCAAGAAGCAGCATACCAGGCTGAGGGAAAGCCAGACCGTGTAAAGCATTTGGAACGACGAGGTTGGAGGAGAAAGAGACAGTGGAAATGATTCAAACGACCTGTGGCTGGGCCCCTGGCAGGGTGATATAATCTGATGGAGAAGAAGGGAAAGGAGGAAGGATGAGGGTTGGGACAAGTTGAGTTTGGGACACATGATTTGAGGTCATGGTGAAACATATCCGGCTTCCAGTTAGAAAACCAGTTTAGAAATGTTAGCACAAGGGCCCAGAATTCAGATTTTTTTTTTCAAGATTTTATTTATTCATTTGAGAGAGAGACAGAAAGAGCATGAGCAGGGGGAGGGGCAGAGGAAGAGGGACAAGCAGATTCCCCGCTGAGCATGGACATGGGGCTTCATCCCAGGACCCTGAGATCATGACCTGACCTGAGCCAAAGTCAGATGCTTAACTGATTGAGCCACCCAGGTGCCCCAGAACTCAGATTTAAACTGCATGTTCAGAGCTTTTCCACTGGGGAAAAGAGAAATAGGTACTCGTTTTGTAGGGAAGTTGGCAAATCACCTTTGACATATGATAGCTAGAGTCGAAAGATTGAAAATTACAGTGGACATATAGAAAATGAAGTTATCACATGGAAAACTAGCAATAATTATGCATTGGGCCTAAAACCTTGTTCGTGTTTATACCACCTGCTGTTCTTAGCATCTACTTTATCTTTCTGGCTCTGTTGCCTCCTGCCTGCGAGACCTGGACCTGGCCACTAAGAGATGGAGCCAGAGTTCATTCATCTCTAAAAACATGGATGACAGGGGTGCCTGGGTGGCTCAGTCGGATAAGCGTCTGCCTTCTGCTCAGGTCATGATCCCAGGGTCCTGGGATTGAGCCCTGCGTCGGGCTCCCTGCTCAGTGGGGAGCCTGCTTCTCCTTCTCCCTCCGCCCCTCCCCCTGCTTATGTGCACACACTCTCAAATAAATAAAATCTTTATTTTATTTTTTTTAAAGATTTTATTTATTTATTTGACAGAGAGAGACATAGCGAGAGCAGGAACACAAGCAGGGGGAGTGGGAGAGGGAGAAGCAGGCTTCCCGCAGAGCAGGGAGCCCAATGTGGGACTCGATCCCAGGACCCTGGGATCATGACCTGAGCCGAAGGCAGACGCTTAACGACTGAGCCACCCAGGCGCCCATAAATAAAATCTTAAAAAAAAATAAAAATGTCGATGACAGAGAATGTCAGCTTTTACCTTCCGCAGGACACTCCTCAGTGAACAGAGCTGTCCAGATCTGTCCTCCGGGTCCAAGTCTGGACTCCCACAGCGGAAACAGAATCTGAAAACTTTTACTCAGACCCTCGTTAAATCTTCAGATGCTTAGTATCAGCATTTTCAAATGCTCAAATACCTGATTTTAAAGACAGGAAATCTGTGATGGTCTTGTGTATATCTACTTACTGTGTGACACATAGTTTTGGGGGACACGTAGGGTGATCTTTACCTTCGCTGGTCATTTTAAAGAAGTCGGATTTTTGTATCTTTTCTATTTCTGCTTTTTTAAGATTTTCATGCCAGATGAAGCAACAGCCAGTGGGGAAGTGAAGAATGCCTGCTACCTACAGAGACTATTGAAACACTTCCTGGAGCTGGAAGACAGCAGCCCTCCGACAGGAGCATTATCTCATTATTTCATTTCAGTTTACAGAGGATTTACTTCTCAGAAGTTGGGCAAGGTAAGATTGGATGCATATTTTGTTTAACATTTTAGATTGCTTTGGGTTGAAATTATCTGATACTTCCAGAGGAAAGGGTGGGTGGGAGATTTCGGTATTCAGTAGGCAGCTAGGATTAGCTGGGCTGCCTGGTGTGCCTAAGATAGTTATGTAGTAGGGATGAGCACATTTCTACCAGAACACAATGGGAGAGAAGGTCGTAAGGGAAACTGTGCAGTAAGTAAAACATATATATTTACTTGTAATTATAAAAGTAAAACAGCTGAGCCATAAATAACAAAATCAAATACAACAGAGGTATGAAAAGTATAATTCTGTACCTACCAAGTTTCGTTCTCCCAAAGTAACCATTGTTAATAATGGCTTGAGATGTATCTTTCCAGGTTTTTTTTAACTTGTCATATTTGTGACATATATGATGCTCTTTTGAAGTGTTCTTGAATGCCTGAGGCTCCATCATGCCTGGCAGGTTAGAAATAATGCCTTAGTTGTAGGTTGGGTCAGATGAGGGTTGGGTGAGGATGGTTTGAGTCTGATCTGTGAGCTTTTTTACTCCTTTGCTGCTGTGTGTCACCCTTCTTCATTTGAAGCTTCCCAGTGACACACCATCTTCCCCTCTTCCCATTCCTAACTAGCTCCCCTTCCTGAATTCTCCCCTTCTTCGATTTTAGTTTATAAACATATATTGAGGTCCCCCTCTGTGCTGGCTCCCTGCTGGGCAGAGGGGACAGAGAGATAATAGGCCCCGTCCCTGCCTTCAAAGAAGATGGACATCTCTGACTCCTCCACCATCTCCAGTCGCTCGGCAGGACTAAGACCAGTTCTGCCTCTGCGGCTTCATCCCCTCATCTCTTTCTCTTCCTTCCCATCCCTGCCTTAGTTACAGGCCTTCCTTGCCTTCTTCCCAGCCACAGAAGCCTCTCCTTGCTCTCCCAGTCCCCAGCCAGCTGCCCATTGGTTCTGCACATCACAGCCGGTTTCACGGCCTAGTCCCTCCCCACTGTCTAGAATGGTGGTTCACAAGTGGGCTGTGCGGACCTTGGGGGTCCTTGAAACCTTTTCAGGGTATCTACCAGGTCAAAACTGTTTTTGTAACAGCACTAAGATGTTATTTGTTGTTGCAGAGCAATAGTGGGTAGAACTGCTGGTGCCTTAGCATGAATCAAGGCAGTGGCCTGGAACTGTCCTTGCAGTCATTGTATTCTTCATTGCTATACTCTTAGTTTTTTTTTTAAAGAAGGTCCTTATGAGGGCGCCTGGGTGGCTCAGTTGGTTAAGCGACTGCCTTCGGCTCAGGTCATGATCCCGGAGTCCCTGGATCGAGTCCCGCATCGGGCTCCCTGCTCGGCAGGGAGCCTGCTTCTCCCTCTGACCCTCCCCCTCTCATGTGCTCTCTGTCTCTCTCATTCTCTCTGTCTCAAATAAATAAAATAAATTTTTAAAAAAAAAAAAAAAGAAGGTCCTTATGAAGCAGTAAAAATTGCTAATTTTAGTGAATCTCAACCCTTGAGTACACATCTTTTTTATATTCTGTGTGACAAAGTGGAAATGCTCATAAAGCACTGTGTGCATACCGAGGTACGGTGGTTGTCTCAACGAAAAGCGTTTGTGGGATTGTTTGAATTACAAGCTGAACTAGCCACTCTTCATTTTTACTTGAAATAATGACTGAGGCTTGGTGAGGCTGCAGAGCTGATAGGGACCAGATGTTGGAGGGCCTTGTGGCCACATTAATAAGGTTGGGTGATCTGACTTCAGCCTGCCCTTTTCATCTTTTTATACTGTCCTGCTCACACAAATACAGTCCTTCCCTCTTGCTTGCTCTTTCTAAAGCACATACTTCTTTACCCGCTCTGTCCTTCCTCTGATCATTCCTTCCGCCAGGAGATGTGCTGACAGCTCTGAAGAGTCAGAACAGAGGAAGAAGATGGGCCTGACTCCAGACTTTTTCCCTCTGGAAATCTTGCTATCCCAGCCCTGTCTGAGGCCTGTTGTGAATCACCACCCTGCCGGCACCCTTGTGGGCCTCAGACTGCCAACTCTCACTGTAGCTGTGTGAGATACTGCAGTCTGCCTCATTCTGGCTAGCCTGCCTACACACAGGACTCTTGGGAAAAACCTGTGAAATAGCCTAGCCCCCACTCACAGACTGTCCTTTGAGTGAGCTGATTACACAGGTGGCTCCTTTCATCTATCTTGCCTTAACGTTGACTAGCTTCTGTTTGAGTATACTTTTTCCTTGACCTTGTCCCCTACGTAGTAATGATACCATCAGAAACGACACCAACCAACCAATAGGTCAGATAGAAGAAGAATGTAGCCTTGTACCTGATACCAGAACTGCCGTGAAATAATGTGGTTGGACTGGTTTGTAGCTCATCCTCCATAATATGCCAAAACACAAAATACAAAGTTATCTCCAAGTAAGACAAAGAAACTTCTGATAAATCAGATTTCAGATTAATATAATAATGGTAATGTGGTGATAATGCCTTTGTATTTGTGTAAGCTAGAGCAGGGCTGCCCAGCCTTCTTGACATCATAGCACACACAGAAAATTATATTCTTCAGCCCCATGAGGGGATCAGTATCTCATTCACAGCACATCAGTAGGGAAACTCTGTGCTGAGGCTTCTAAATAAAAGCATTCTTTTTGGTGCCTGGCTAATTCTGACTGGCTACCCCTCCTGCCTTTCAGCATGAATGCCTCAATATAATATTAATAATAGTTGATATATGAAATAATATTAATAATATTAAATATACTACTAGTAACGTAATAGTTAAAAGCTTGAATTTTAAGCCAGTCTGTCTAGATTTAAATCCTAGCTCTGCCACTAACTAGCTTTGTGCCCCTGGGCAAATTAATTACTTAATCTCTTTGTACCTCAATTTCTTCATCTGTAAAATGTAAAAATATCTCATAGGGTTGTGAAGATGAAAGAAGTTAGGATACGTAAAATGTGTTTGTAGGGGCGCCCGGATGGCTGAGTCGTTAAGCGTCTGCCTTCGGCTCAGGTCATGATCCCAGGGTCCTGGGATCGAGCCCCGCATCGGGCTCCCTGCTCGGCGGGAAGCCTGCTTCTCCGTCTCCCACTCCCCCTGCTTGTGTTCCCTCTCTTGCTGTGTCTCTCTCTGTGTCAAATAAATTAAAAAAAAAACTTAAAAAAAAATGTGTTTGTCAAATGCTTGGGACATTGGCATCTGGTGAGCCCTGTGTGTGTGTGCTGAAGCTGGTAGCACTGTGCACTGCTCCTTCAGAGAAGTAAATGTCTATTTGTTGCCATTCGAACTGGTGTAAGGTGGTATCTCAGTGTGGTTTTGATTTGAACTTCCCTGGTGGCTAATGATGTTGAACATTTTTTCATGTGTCTGTTAACCATTTGTATGTCTTCTTTGGAGAAGTGTCTGTTCGTGTCTTCTGCCCATTTTTTGACTTATTTGTTTTTTGGGTGTTGAGTTTGAGAAGTTCTTCATAGATCTTGGAAATCAGCACTTTGTCTGTAGTGTCATTTGCAAATATCTTCTCCCATTCTGTGGGTTGCCTCCTTGTTTTGTTGACTGTTTCCTTTGCTGTGCAGAAGCTTTTTATCTTGATGAAGTCCCAAAAGTTCATTTTCGCTTTTGTTTCCCTTGTCAAATTGACAAGGCAAGAAACAACAAATGTTGGAGAGGATGTGGAGAAAGGGGAACCCTCTTAAACTGTTGGTGGGAATGCAAGTTGGTACAGCCACTTTGGAAAACAGTATGGAGGTTCCTCAAAGGTCATAGGTACCCTATGACCCAGCAATTGCACTACTGGGTATTTACCCCCAAGACACAGATGTAGTGAAAAGAAGGGCCACATGCACCCCAGTGTTCATAGCAGCAATGTCCGCAATAGACAAACTGTGGAAAGAGCCGAGATGCCCTTCAACAGATGAATGGATAAAGAAGATGTGGTCCATATATACAATGGAATATTACTCAGCCATCAGAAAAGATGAATACCCAACTTTTACATCAACATGGATGGGACTGGAGGAGATTATGCTAAGTGAAATAAGTCAAGCAGAGAAAGTCAATTATCATATGGTTTCACTTATATGTGGAACATAAGGAATAGCATGGAGGACATTAGGAGAAGGAAGGGAAAAATGAAGGGAGGGAAATCGGAGGGAGAGATGAACCATGAGAGACTATGGACTCTGGGAAACAAACAGGGTTTTAGAGGGGAGGGGGGAGGGGGATTGGTTAGCCCAGTGATGGGTATTAAGGAGGGCACATATTGCATGGAGCATTGGGTGTTATACCCAAACAATGAATCATGGAACACTATATCAAAAACTAATGATATACTGTATGGTGACTAACATAATAAAATTTTAAAGAAAAGAGAGAAGTAAATGTCTGGGCTCCGTCTTCCCAGGCCCCTCCTCATTGCCTCCTCCTCAGCCTCCCATTTCTCAGTCTTGGCTCTTCCTTAAGAGTGTCTGCCCCCTTCCTTTGATTTTGTCAGGTCTCCATTGTTTGGGGGCCTCCACCAGCTGACGACTGAGGAGGTGACACAACAGATAATTGTACTCCTTAGGTTGTTCTCACCACTCTTCCTTCTCTGGAAAGCCCTTGTGACTGAGGGAGATAACTCTTATAGGTTGGGAAAAGGAGTGAACCATAGACTTTGAAAAGAACTCTGGAGGACTCGGGAGAGGAGCATGAAGTACATTTGCTGAGCTGAGTTAGCCAGCAAAGTTGTGTTCTTAGGGGGAAAATGATCATCTTGGGTATCACATGCCAGATGCAGGAGCTGCTCAGTTCTCTATAGGCTCCACCAAAACATGGAGAACAGATCTGCTGCTTTGGGGGGCAGTGTGGCTCATAAGACTTTTTGGAGAAGTGACAGTTCTTTCAGAGGTGGGCCTTGGGGTCACCGATGGGGAGAACAGTGGATGAAGGGTACTTAATGTGTTGGGAATATCTGTTGCTATTGCAGTCCCACTGCGATAGGTGAGACTCCTCGGCCCCTCCTCAACGGCTCTGGGAGTTCTCTCGAATTCACACTGACCGGCCATGCTGCCTCTCTTCAGCCTTAGCACACGCTCTTTCTCTGTCCTTCTCCCCAGGCCTCGCCCTGGCCAGTTCCCACTCATCCTTCAGATGGCAGCTTAGCTGTCCCTTCCTCTAGTTACTAAACTGAATTTGATGCCTGTCTTCTGCTCCACAGCACCTGGTACTTGCCGGTCACAAGGCACTTGTCCCACTCTACTGAAATTGTTTTATATGTCAGTGGATTTAAATTCCTAAGGGCAGAGAGACTGTCTTCTCTTGTATTCTTACTGTCTAGCACTGGACAATCCATAGATGCCCAATAAATACAGTATTTGTTGAATGAGTAACTCATCAGTGCTTTCACATCATGTCTTCTTTGACCCTCACCACAGCCTCGTGGTGCAGGCAGCCCAGGCCTCTGACCTCTTTTGGTATATCAAGAAACTGATACTTAGAGAAGCTAAGCAAGCCGCCAGAGTGCACACAGTGGTGGGGAGCCAGGATTTAAACTGGTATCTTGCAGGCTCAAATGCTCATTACATCATTTTGTTTTTTTACAAAGTTTTTCCTTTAAAAAAAATAGCATTTAAAAAAATTAAAATAGTGTTTGTTGTTTTCAAGGCACCAATATTCCTGAAATGTTTTTTCCTCACTGATCATTGGATTTCAGTAGAGAGAAATCTAGATATGATTTTAAATACTGTATATTCAGATTCTAAATTCCAGTGTCTATTGGAGAAAAATTATTGTGTATTTTATTGAAAATAAAACTTGGCTAAAATAATAATAGCATTAAAAAGTAACACATTTCATTGTATCAAATTTGGAGAATGCTGAAAAATATAAAGCAGAAAATAAAAATCACCCCATCACACGAAGAAAACTACTATAGATTAGAAATGTCCTGGATGCAAAAGGTAGCATTGAGCTTGAATCCCAGTTAAACCACTGGCACTAACCAGATGTTTGGTGTTTAGTAGATTGTTTAACCTCTGAGCCTCGGTTTCCTCACCTGAAATATAACAAAATATTTACCTTGTGGGATTATTGTAAGAATTAGAATTATTATAATGTATGTAAAATACGTAGCATGGTGCCTGGCGTATATTAGGCACTCTTTCAAGTTGTAGTAGTATTAACATTTTTGTGTATTTCTGTCTAGTATGTCTACATACCTGTGCATACTCATAATTTTTAAGATGTATTCATTTATTTTAGGGAGAGCAAGCAAGTAGGGTGGGGAGGGGCAGAGGGAGAGGGAGAAAGAGAATCCCCAGCAAACTCCCCGCTGAGCGTGGAACCCAATGCGGGGCTCGGTCTCACGACCCTGAGATCATGATCTGAGCTGAAATCAAGAGTCGGACGCTTAACCAACAGAGACACCCAGGTGACCCATACATATATGTTTCTCCTGCACATTTATATCAGGTATGTCATTGGGTCCTCACAGCGTTGCTGAAAAGGGCGGATATTATTTTAAAACCTGTTCTGTAGATGAGAAGGCTGAGACTCTAAGAGGCAAAGTAACTTGGCATAGCCTTGGTGCCATGTCTGCTAATATCTGAGGCGGGATTTTCACTTTGGTCTCCTGTTGCCAAGCTCATGTCCTTCCCTGTCAACAGTGTGCTTCCTTTCCAGCTCCACCTCCACCAGTACACGGATGGTAGACCACCGAGTCCTGACCAAGGGTAAGGTAAGGGCTAGAGGTAGTAGAAGTACTGGGAGCCTGCACACCAGCTGGAGTCTGTCTGAAGACTTAAAAGAAGTGCTCGTTTCCTCCTCTGAAATCACAAACACATTGCCCAATTCTATAGCAGAGACCAGGCTTCTGGCTAGAAAGTCAAGGGCCACAGGGCTTTTTCTTAGGAAGAGTTTGTCAGAGAACTCATAGAACAGAATAGCCTCACTCTGCAGTCTGTAGGGCAGAGGTGGACCCACATTTCTTTCGGTGCATGCACTTGTTACCTAAAGGGCTTGGGTGACATGCACTGCAACTAACACTAAGTATGTGCAGCATTTCCTATCATTTCATTTCAGTGCACATTTTCTGAGGGTTGGTATGTATCTGACACTGTGCCATGGCTTATAGGAGATGCAGAGATGAACAGGCAACAGTCCTGGCCTTTAGGAACACTGGGGAGAGAGAGCTCAAGGCCAGATCCCACCAGTGCTCTAATGGTACTTCTAGCAGGGTGTTTAGGAGCAGAGGAGGAGCACTATTAGTTCTGTGCAGTGAAGCCATCTATTTGCCTGGTACCTAACTGATTTCCAAAGTGTTTGTACAAACTGAACTCGTTCAAAGGGGTGGAGACTGGGGGTGGGGGAGCAGAGACTTTTGAGCTGGGTTGTAGTGGTTGCAGTGAGAGGAAGTCTCTGGCCAAGGGAAGGAGGTGAGCCGAGGACCAGCTTGATTGTGGAGCCTTATGCCCCGAGGCAGCTTTTTTTTTTTTTTAAGATTTTATTTATTTATTTGACAGAGAGAGACAGCAAGAGCGGGAACACAAGCAGGGGGAGTGGGAGAGGGAGAAGCAGGCTTCCCGCCCGCCAAGCAGGGAGCCCGATGCGGGACTCGATCCTGGGACTCTGGGATCATGACCTGAGCCGAAGGCAGACGCTTAACGACTGAGCCACCCAGGCACCCCCTGAGGAAGCTTTCATCCAGTGTTTGCATGCTTAATAAATTAAGGTCCCACAGACCCTGCCAGTGGACTGTCTGCAATAGAATAGAGATTATGGACAGGCTCCAGATGGGGAACCTATCAACCCCTTGGTAAGATTATGACACCGCTCCCTCTCCCCTCCCCCCATGTAAACAGGGAAGTTAAGCATGGTTGTTTTTTTTTTCCACTTCACTGCCTTCCTACATTTTTTTCTTCCTAGTTTCAAAAACAACTCTCCTTCAACAAGTTCTGTTTCCAAGGAAAATCTTAACCATTTGTCCCTTCTGGCGTACCCTCTTCCATTGAAATCCATGCAGAATAGACCAGGTACTCTATTTTTGTGTGTGTGAAGCCATAAAATCTGATATTGAATATGCGGCGGTGCTCAGAGGTATGATTCTTCCACAAGAGGCTCCCTCAGCCCTGCTGTGGTAAAAACCAAGTATAAATTGCCTCTAACAGGGTTTTATAGCTAGAGTCGTAAGTATGTCTGAGCATCCCCTGTGAATTATAATGCTTCCAGCTCTCTTGCTGCTCCTCTGCATTGCCTACCTTTTGGCTGTTTTGCTTGTCCTTAGGCCCTCCGTCTGAGTGCAGGCAGAGGAAGGAGAAAGAGAAGGGAATCCAGAATCGGTCCAGTCTGCACTTGCCTCGCAGCACTGAGAAGAAAACGGATTGGCATTGGACTGCACACAACGGCAGGGCGAGAGGGACAGTGGCCCCTCCTCCTCAGCCTGCTGTCCCAGTGGCCAGTGCCCCTCCCTGGGCTCCTGAAGAGCCCCCTGGGTTTCATTTCTGTAGAATTTCTCACTGTGTTGGGCAGCTTTTTCCCTTTAACTTACCTTAGTGAGGGTGGATATTGGGTGCTGATATTTAAGTTGGATTCTTTGAATTCATAGTGTGTTGCTGTCCCCAGATAGATCTTGTGTTTGAAACTATTGGCCAGAGTAATATTTTGAGATCTTCTGTGGATTCCTTTTATCCACGTGCTTATTTGTTCTCTAAAGTATAATTGAAAATCTGCTGTCATCAGATCCAAAAATGAGAGGAAGAATGCACCTAAACTGAGCTGTCAGACACTTGGCTGCCTAACCATACTTTCTGGATTATGGTGCGGAAAGTGCCATCGTTCTGTGTGCTCTCTCCTAATGGATGTTGTGTACTTGCTTCTGAGAACAATATAGAGACGTGCTTCGGCCCTAATCAATCTTCCTGAGCAGACTTGCCATTTTTCTGACCGTGTTCAGCCAGGGTCCTCTGAGAAGAAAGTGGGCCTTTCCCCTTGATGGGCAAAGAGCCAGCTTCCATTTCAAAATCTCTTAGAAAAAAAAAAAATCCAACAAGCCAGAGCCTGTGTTTATTGAAGGTTGGTCTAAAAGTCTCTCACACTGCATGCCCCACCAGCACACAAGTGCCTCTATTTTAGAAGGATGTAAAGGTTTAATCACCCTGGTGGGGATTTAGACCCAGAGACTTCAGAGAAATCTTATTATTTCTAACTGCAGGCAAAGAGTATTAAGGCTCACTCTGGATCAGGGGCATGACATGTTCTATAAGTAATTTATCTTTAACAGGGGAAGGCCCTTACTAGAGTGTCTTAGAAACAGTGCCCTGATTGGGCCCTGGTTCCCTGTTCCTCCTTTCTCTTTCCCCCTCTCAGTCTCCTGTTTATTCTTTCCATCCCTACCCTTTCCTGCCTGGTGTGCCCAGTGTTGAAATGTCTGCCTCACAAATCTGCCCTTTAACATGGGGAGCCTCCCTTTAACCTGCTGGCCAGTGAGAGATAGTAATGTTTTTGCAATAAATGACCTTATCCAGCAGCCCGGTGTAGACCTGTCAACTGCAGACTTCTCAGACTTCTGAATAGACCCTAACTGCATCCTCTCAAATAAGAGGATGCTCGGGCTTCCACAGGTACTCAGGTCTGTGTTCCTAGACCTGAAGTAATTTAGGGCCATCCTCAAAGCCATCCCCTGCCCTGTTGTACCTCCACCGAAGGCCTGTGAATCCCTGTGCACATCCACTCGGATGTCCCTGAGCATATGATTTCATTTGCATGGGCCCTTCCCAAGTCCATGCCCTTGCTTAGCTCCCTGGGTCTTGCCTTTCTGGTGCTGAGGCAGGAGGACATCACAGGTGCGATTCCGCTTATGGCTTCATTGTTTTTGTTGGGAACTACAGTTTGACTGGTGGCAGATCTAAATCCATATACTAATGAGCTTGGTTAAAGCAGGCTCTGCTATCCTCTTTTAATCTAGCCTGTCTGTCTAAGTTCCTTTCCACAGTTAATGATCTCCAATAATGGCTTTGCCTTTAGTTTTGCCTCCTGGCTCAAACAAATCAATAGTTCTCACAGATATTTAAAAACCATCAGTGTAAAGCTCCTGGGTCCCCCCACCCCCCTTTTTTTCCCTTCTGGGTGAACTTATGACTTGACCGGTATAGTGATATTTCCCTTATATCTCTTTTTCCCCAGGGATGGGCAGCAGTGAACCCCTTCCCATTGCAGAGGGTGACAAGAGGAAAAAGAAGAAGCGGAAGGCCCGGGCCACTGACTCCTTACCAGGGAAGTTTGAAGGTTGGTCACACGACTCCTCAGGTCTGGGCCTGTTTCTCCCCGAGCATAGGAGGAGCATCTAGGTGGCCCATAGGTCTAGATCAGAGCATGCGTCATCTGAGAGTCAGCTTGTGCTTATCTGTGTGACAGAGATGAAAGGTGGGATGACAGAGCTCTCGGATGGTGCACTCTGAATGGTTTCAGCACTTCACCAGGGGATAGAAAGACCAATCCATCACTTTGGATATGGCGTGAGATTACTTGGTGCAGTTCGGCCCTTTTCTGATGTGATCTTTGTCCCGGCTGTTCCTGGAGGAGCTGCTGAGAGGTAGAACCACTGTGTAAAAGGATGAGAGAACACCAAGGGCCATGGCTCCAAATGAAAGTTAAATCTTCTAGAAACAGAGGAGTTGACTCCTAAAGATCACAGCTACTTGTGCTGTATGCGTTTGACTCTATTTTTTTTTTTT